AATGAATGGAGTTATAAGTGTTTAAGGTTTCCAAATTTTGTCCAACCTCTCCTATTGACTCGATCCACTGTGCGGCAGTCTGACTCACAAACGAATACGCGCATCGGTAGTTTATGGATGCCATTAAAAAGAATCTCGCAGGTTTGTTTTGTTTGACCTTTTTGAAGAGGGTTTTATCGATGCGTCGTATTCAAATCATGATCTTAGATTTCAATGAGTCTATTACACAATAAATTCAACCATCTGAGTCAACTTTGTATTCGTAAGATTGCAAATTCGCAATTTATCGTTCTCCAACCGGACTGCATGCTGCGATTCGGAACTACAATTTCTGACTCAGAAACAACGTATGTACCATTAGTTTTCCCAAAGTATTTGACGGATGGGCCAAAAATTGTAATTCCTAATTTCAAAATGGAGTTAAGTGTTCCGTGCCAAACGGACAACATTTCGTATCAGGAACTTCAATTTCTGGTTCATCCGTAAAAACACGGGGAAACTAATTGTACATGCATACGTTATTTCTAACCTGAGTCAGAAATTGTATAGTTCCTAATTTAAAAATATGGTCCAAATAATGCGAAAACAACCCCTCAAAGATGAAGTAAAGCCCTATAATTTTCATATTTTTCCACTTTAAGGGTTTTTTTGCCATACTCCACATCACATTTTTCCACTTTAACCATCGATGTCTCTAGGATAAAATTGTTAGATTTTGGCTACTTATAATTGAAAGAATTTTTCGAAGAGGAATTTCTTTCGACGTTTCTTAGTATACAACGTACTTGGAAATATGCGGCGATGCATTCAACTCGAGGTTCGTTATTAAGGCTGAATCAAACAAGCGTTTCATGGCGCAACAATTGGGTCAAATTGAAGACGGCGAGAAGGGAAAATTGAACTTGGTAGCGTTGCGTGAATCGTCACGCAACTGTTGTTGAGGAGATTAGAACCGTGTAACGTGGACCACGGGGTAAAAGGAGGGTGAAGACCAAGAAAAAGTGCGTCAAATGTTTGATGGATGCCCCCTTCATAAAAGACGATTATATCGATTGTTGTTCCCTTCACGGAACTCCAAAGAGGTGCCAGTTTTCTTTATTTTTAGGCCCAAAGCCTTCTTCGACATCACTTGTTTCGGTGCCGCTGTAGCATAGCGTGAAAATTTGATGCCCGCCTCGACTCAATGCCTTCCTCTTTCTTGTATCCTTTTATATTAGTAGACCTGGGAAATTTCATGTCTTCATCCTTCTCATATATAAGCAAACCCTTCGTCTTCGATAATGAAACATGTTTGATATCAGTGTTTTTTTTTGCAATTGTTCTTTTTTTCTTTTTTTTCCTTCAAGTTTATGGAATACAATTTCTGTCGAGGTGGAGAGGATCACCGATCAGGGTGTGAACTTAAGCACTGCAAGTAATATGCCTCATCCAAATTTTAAGTGGAATACTAAAGAGGCACCACTGAAATTCTCCAAACTTGACTCAAAATCGAGACAATAGCGTTTTTGTCTAATAGTTCATCCTTTACTCATACTTTCCGCTCACAAAAAAAGAAGAAAAAAACCCCTGAGTCTACTTTATAGTCCAATCGAGCAATGGCTTTCTCTTGCCCCACGCACATGGCTGATTAGGCTTAAATCAATAATTATGGTTATTTTGCAAGTAGGAAGTTTAAGTTGACTAATAAGTATGAACTACAAACGTTATTTCTTTCTTTCAGCAAATAAAGTCTGACTATTGTTTGTGATTAGTCCGTGGGGGAGTAGTCCCGAATTCAAAACAACTACGATTAAGACAAATTCACGACTCTTCATCAAGAGTCGTGAGAAAAAGGTGCTCAGGTCAAGGAGAACTTTTTGGAAAACTCAACGAAAATTTGATTTTATCCGTGAAAAATGAAGAGAATGGAGTGCTCTCCAAAGGAAAAAACGTCTAAAAAAGATTTATGATGACGTATACGTTTTTTAAGGAAATGTAGAAATAACATTCAAAATCTGTGATTTTTGATGTCCTTCAATGGTGTGTTAAAAGTAAAAAAGAAATTTTTTTGAAAATTCACTGAAGAAATTTAAAGTGTATAATAATTGGTTATCGAACCATTTAGAAAAATTACTTAAAAATCACTGTTGAGTTACTTGAAATCGCTCACCTCGAATTTTTGAGCTTTTATCGCACTGAACGGTAAAGCGGATAAGACGAAAAGCTGCTCAGGTTGAAATTCCTCTCGGTCCCATGACAATTCGACTTAGCGAGATTTCACTGTAATTCTAATTGCTGAAATTATCTGCCCGCGAGTCCGTCCCTTTTGTTTCCGCAATCTTTGCCTTCATGACATGAAACTCTTTCTTTACCTACCCTTGTCTCTTCCGCCTTTCCTCACGCGATTCTTTAATCTCATCCTGTCACATTCCAAACGCTGTCACTCCCACGCGTTGGTCTTCACATTTTGCATTTATCTAAATAATGCTTAATGCACTGAACGCTTAGAGGTGGCGAAGTTTCCCGTGATTCATGTGAAGAACAGTGGCGTGGCGTGAATGGTCGATTATCGATATTTCCCCATTTGGATCCGTGGTAAAGAATCGATTATTAAGGTGTTTGCAGCGAACACCTTAATAATCGATTCTTTACCACAGGTTTAAATGGCATAACAATCGATACATCGCAATTCACGCCACACCGCTGACTGGAGAAACCACTCGAGGAGGATGTGGGACGCAGGTTTTCACTTTGATGTCAGGGAAGCGACAAATCTATCAGTCCCGTCTCTTCGCGTTTTTTCCCCCGATGCATTCATCATTAGTAATGAAAATAGATCGGTTTGTTTTTTTCCTTCAATTTGCGTTGATTTGGATTCAGTCGCCCACACGTTCGCACGGGTACACGGAAATTTCTCGATCACGCAATTGTGTTCGCGTAAGAAAT